ATACCATTGTGTCAAATTTTTTCTGAAATTAACTTTAAAAGTACTAAGTAAGATCATGAGATATAGCAATATATGTTTAAACCAACTTATATTTTGGTTGTACACCACTTGTATGTGCCGGATACCATTGTGTCAAATTTTTTCTGAAATTAACTTTAAAAGTACTAAGTAAGATCATGAGATATAGCAATATATGTTTAAACCAACTTATATTTTGGTTGTACACCACTTGTATGTGCCGGATACCATTGTGTCAAATTTTTTCTGAAATTAACTTTAAAAGTACTAAGTAAGATCATGAGATATAGCAATATATGTTTAAACCAACTTATATTTTGGTTGTACACCACTTGTATGTGCCGGATACCATTGTGTCAAATTTTTTCTGAAATTAACTTTAAAAGTACTAAGTAAGATCATGAGATATAGCAATATATGTTTAAACCAACTTATATTTTGGTTGTACACCACTTGTATGTGCCGGATACCATTGTGTCAAATTTTTTCTGATATTAACTTTAAAAGTACTAAGTAAGATCATTTATTTTTGCATAATATAATGCCAATATGGTTTCTTTTGATTTTATTTCATTTATAAGCAAATCAGATTTACCCAAAAACTCCACTCCATAAGCGTTCATTTGCTAAATTAAAAAGTGACAATGGGCTAGTCTGTCCCTTTCTCAGGTTTTGTCATTAATGCATCTTATAAACTTTCATTGATAAATATGGATAGATAAGTTCTGTGTTCAAAAGTAAGCATTTTTTTAAAACGCGCAATTATATCAAGAACGACTATCATAAATTCATGAGTATCGATGATTTTCGTTTAGGATGGACTTAATCGGCTTGATTGATATACATATTTTAAAATGGCATAGCTTTGTGCATGTTATGTCAAGCATTGTGCCAAACCAATTTAAAATGAAACAAATTATTTTAAAGAAACTATATATGAACTATTCGAACACTTTATATTAATGTAGGGAGCTATAAATTTAAATATTCTAAAAATTTATTTATTTGTTAAGAGTTCGGAACAAATTTATTATTGAATATATAGGAAATCAAATAATTATGCATAATCGCATAAAAAAATGCTGAAACAATGAAAAGAAAAAAATAGTTGCCCAATAGAAAAAGTCGAACTCATACCCCTACCCATTGAGTTATCCTCACTTTCAAATTTCGATCGAAAAAAAGGTATTTAATCGCGTAACTCGCACCGTTTAGTCGTATTTCGAAGTTCTATATAGTATTAAAGATTAAGTTACATTATGTACAAAATAACTTTTTATTGTTATTTGATTTTGATAGCATTATTAGCTGAATATGAAAAATCTCGTAGAAATAATCATTTCATTCAGACATAAGTATTGGATTGTTTCCCAACAAGCATAATAACACACGTTTCATATTATAATTTATTTCATTTATGTACAAAATTTAGATAACGATATCAAATAAAAAAACTGTGGCCTTTTTTACTTCAAACTATCATGAAGTGTAACCAAATTGGGTGAGTATTCTTGCTATCAGTATGACATGAAAAAGTGAACGACAAAAATTGAAGATATTGTAGTTAACTCTGATTTTTTTAATTGCAAACACATCTATAATTTGTTTAAATATCATTTATTATATCAAAATCGAAAAATTCGTTTTTGGAAATCTTTGAATTTATGAGAAGTTCTACAAAGACACTTACAAATATAGCGTTTGCAATAAAAAGGCTCTTTAATCTTCTTCATCCTTGCTCAGAAACTTCTACTGGTTACCTTACGGGTAACCTGCAAAGCTGCTTCCAAGGCATCGAGAAAATAACGTATTTTCGTGAGACTAGTTTTGAAAGAAAAAAAAGACGGCGATAATTTTGTATTGTTTTGTTATTCGGCCGAATGGCGGGTACGAAGTAGCCGCCATTCGGCCCCAAAAATGGCGTATTATTCTATTTTTAAACGGTCATGGCGTAAAACCGTCGCATCCCTACAATGTTAAGTATCAAAAAGAAAGGAGGTCTGATATAGACAACATATATCGTTGAAGGTTGAAAAAATCTCTAATATTTGAGCCCAAAATTTCAAATTTTAATTTTTTGAAAAAAGAGGCCACCCGTATGTACGTTTATTTGAGAGGAGGAGGATTATATTTTTGAAAGGGTGAAACATTATGAATATGTTAATTATATAATAATATGTATTATTATAAAAAAGAAAAAATAAAGCATGTTAAAATTTTTCTTTCTTGATTTTTTACAAAATCTACTTAGAATTATGCAAAATATGACTAAATAATTATAAATTTCAAGTTAAATTTTAATTTTGATAAATAATTTAAATTTCAAAATATCAAGTTCAGTTCGACTATGTATGTAGTAATTCCTCAATAAAGTGTCAAAACCCTATTAAAATATATGAACATTTTCAACATTTTAATGTTTTTATTTAAAAATTTGATGGAATATGAGCTTCAAACAATTATTATGTAAATAAAAATAATTAAATATATGTATTTATTCGTATTACAACCGTAGTAAGTTGATTCTTCCTTTCTTCTACAGAGATTTGAATTTGATTTCGAATTGTAAAGAGATTCAAAGGGAAAATACTAGCGGATAAAAACTACCTCCATGAAAGAGTCATAATGGAGTCAAGTTGTATTTTTTGATATTTTTTGCTTTTCGAGCCTAAATAGGTAGCCAAGATAATGCCTAAAATAAGGTTCTAAATTCTGAAGTTTACATGATCCTCTCGTGTGCACCCTTAATATCAAAATATTTTACTAAAATTCTTTTCCTGCCATCATTTATTCCTTTTTACATATCTTATATAAAATCCAACATCATATTTACTTGCTTTGTTGTTATTTTTAGAATAATTTTCCGCAATTTCTCTCATAGGATCCTTAGTTCTCTCATTCAAAAACCTTATCACAATATTTGTATGCTCATTTAAATATTGAATTCTTTCAATTTCATTTGAATTTTGATTTTGTTAGCTCAGAAATTTTTTTCTTTCTTTCAAATTTGAATTGTCCAAACTTTGACTGATTAATTATAAAAACTTTGTATCTTTGATTCCATTACATCGTTGAATTATTTTAAATCAATTTCTCATCGGCTCGCCTTTCCCTATTTAAATTATTTAATTTTATAAATATATTTTATGCATTTATCTATGACATCAGCTTTATTTCATATTTCAGTTTCCCTTATTATACCAAGTCTAATTCTTTAATTTTGCTGCGGTTCAAAAATATTAATTTATTTTTACATAAAATATATTTAATTCTAGATTGCCAGATCTAAAAATCCAAAAATATAATGGATGTATAATAATCAATATAAATACTGTAATAAACAGAAATTCATCAAAAGTGACAGCTCTCAATTTTTTGACATTTGTAAATTCTAAATTGAATGAGAAAAATGAAATAATACTAAGCATAATACAATATTCTAGATTTAATTATAATTAGGAAAAAGTTAGTTTTGAGAGTACTTTTCATAGGCATATAGAATGAAATCTTCTGAAAAATAATATCACATAAACTCATATTATTTTCTAATATATAACTATTTTATATAAAAAATCAAATTCAATGATCTTAAAAGCGAAGGATAAACCTCAAAATTTACGAATATAATGAGTGGGAATATAATGCTTATCTATCATAAAACCATATGAAATATCAATTTTTGCTTTACGCCTAATTTTTGACGACAATTAGCAAAAAATGTTAAATGTTAACACTCAGTCCATTTGAATATGAAAAATAAAATTGACTTTGATTAAATGTTTTTATTATCATGTAATTCTTCTTGCGACCAAAGATTTGAATAAAATTTCAAAAATAAGATAGCTTAAAAAATAATATACGGTAGTGTTTACTAATAGATGAATAGTATATAAATTCTATTAAAATGGATTTGATCCAAAAAAATATAAAACCAAAAATAATTGTTATAATTTAAATGAAGAAGTAATTTAAAACGATTTTATTTATGATCAAATTTTATATATTTTTTTGGATCAAATCCATTTTAATAGAATTTATATACTATTCATCTATTAGTAAACACTACCGTATATTATTTTTAAGCTATCTTATTTTTTGAACTTTTATTCAAATCTTTGGTCGCAAGAAGAATTGCATGATAAATAAAAACATTTAATCAAAGTCAATTTTATTTTTCATATTCAAATGGACTGAGTGTTAACATTTAACATTTTTTGCTAATTGTCGTCAAAAATTAGGCGTAAAGCAAAAATTGATATTTCATATGGTTTTATGATAGATAAGCATTATATTCCCACTCATTATATTCGTAAATTTTGAGGTTTATCCTTCGCTTTTAAGATCATTGAATTTGATTTTTATATAAAATAGTTATATATTAGAAAATAATATGAGTTTATGTGATATTATTTTTCAGAAGATTTTGTGTTCTTCTTCAAAATTTTATTTTTTATTAAAAAGAATCTTTACAAAATATACATTTACTTTAATTAATATTTAAAAACGTGCTCTATCAAAAGTTCCAAAAATTCAATATTTTAGCTTTTCTGAGGTGTCACTTTTGATGAATTTCTGTTTACAACAATACTGAATATTTTTTAATTTTGTTTTATAATACAAATATTTACTCTCAAATTTAATATTTTTAATTATGCCAGTACAAAAAATTCTAATTGCAACATATAATTGTTATTCATTTATTTGCATAATATTTTTTAGAGGTTCATCACCACATAAAATATGTTTTTATTTTATTTTCAAACAATGTAGTATGACAAGTATCAAAACTTAAAATTAGACATTACATATTAGATCATATTTAAATTCCAACTTTTTTGCGATTCATTATCTGCATAAAATATGATTTTAAATTTGAATAAAATTGAATAGGTTCTCAATTTTATCTATTCAAATAAGTTTTTCATAGTATTTCTGAATATCTTTCAAAATTTCAGAGTATTTTCTCACAATCTTCAAAAAAAATGAACTTATATACTCTAATCGATCCTTCTTGGCTTGTTAGAGCTAAAGAAGAATTTGACCAATCCAAACCTCTCAATAACATTCTCAAAAATGTACCACTCATCAACCACACAACAAAAGAGCACATAGACAAAATAACCTTCTACAAATCATTACTGTGTAATCGTTTGATTACCATCAAACAATTCTACGAGCATACTACTAAGGCAGAGACATTCAAGTCCCTCTATATACGACACCATTCAATACTTATTGAATGTATTACTATTATTCAAAGACGCGACGAAGATTTACTAGACCAATATCTCCAAGACTTGGTCCCTGGTCACGACCGATCCCAAATAATATCACCACCAATTTCTTTTACTAATCTTCTCACTAATCGTTCTTCTACGCAAAGTACTGATCAACAACAAAGCGCTACACCACTACATGCTGCACCACAGCGACCACAACAAAGCGCTACACCACTACATGCTGCACCACAACGCCAGCCACAACAAAGCGCTACACCACTACATGCTGCACCACAACGCCAGCCACAACAAAGCGCTACACCACTACATGCTGCACCACAACGCCAGCCACAACGCCTACCTCATCAAGATGTTGCACCACTACATTCTGCACAATTAAATCCACCTCCTCACCCAAAACTTGGCAGGCCTAAGAGATCCGTGCCTCCTACTCTTAAGCAGACTATCTTAGCATTATTCGAACAGCATGGTCGTCATGGAGTTTCCCAAACTTATGAGCTCTTAACAGCAGATATTGCTTATGCGCAATCCCATTTAATTGATTTTCAAAATATGAAGTCTGGCAATATCCCCCATCCTACACCTACGCAGCAGTGGTTCGAAAACATTAATCGGGCGCACCAGCTTAACAATATCACAAACTACATCCCCTGTGAATTAAATCCCGATGATCCACCAGTTTCATATCCCCAGCAGCTTCTCAATATTCAGTATCTCCCCGATCCCCTCCCTCAGATGCCCTCTCACCATATGGTTCAGCGTGTCTTTGAAGAACTCGGAAAGATGGAGCGGCGTGGACCCAGAAAGCCAAAAGGAAGAACCCGGTATGTGGCGTGCCTACCCAATCAAATCTGGCACGTCGACATACACTTCCTTCATGGGAACAGGAACGAGATCCTCTACGCCGCAATAGATGATGCCACTCGGTTGGTCATGGAGTGGCAGCATCTTTCTTCAAAGCACGCCACACAAACTGTGAAGGTTGTAGAGAGGGCTATCCGCAGATTTGGAAAGCCCCACACAATTTGGTCTGATAATGGAGGGGAAAATCGGGAGTATTTCTGAGGGCAATGAGGGTAAAAGGAATCAGAAATGTATACATTACCCCTCATTGCCCTTATCAGAATGGTAAAATTGAGAGGCTGTGGCCTGGAATTGAGAAAAAAGGATTATCGTGAAACAAAATTCACGCATGGGTGATGAGATACAACACAAAGCCTCATAGAGCTTTGCCAACCCACAGAGTAAATGGGAAACTTATACATTATAGCCCTGAAGAAATGTGGATGAAAGGCCCAAAATGGGAACCTGGCATGCCGGCAAAATGGATCATTGATGATAAGGAATATGACTTTTTGCCAGGTTCTGTTCAAGCTAAAGAATTTCCAGAGTTAGAATGTGGAGAAGAAGAAGAAGAGAGAAGCGAAGAAGAAAGGAGCGAAGAAGAAGAGAAGCACGAAGAAGAAAAATGTGAAGAAGAAGAGATATACGAAGAGGACATTTTAGAATGTGATGACTATGAAAGCCCATACGAAGAAGAAAGTTGTGAAGAAGATGAAATTGAAAAAATTATTCCGAATAAATGTCACTTTTTCTATTTTTGACATGTAAAGTTGTCACTTTTCTGTCAAACCGTTTTTATCCTTTTCGTTTACAACATTCCTGTTCTTTTACTGGTGGGTCTCAATTTTTTGATTCCGTTTGCTTTTCAATGAAATTTACACATTTAGCTATTAATTCTTGATTCGTTATCGAAAGTACATCGGGTTTAGGTTCTGATTTTATTTCAGCGCTCTGCGCCAAGACCGAAGGTCCTGATTTAGGTTCTGATTTCGTTTCAGATGGAGGAGGTTTAATATCTATTTTATCAGTTTCCGAATTCGTTAATGGAACTCTTCTTTTTCTTACATAAATTTTTCCATCTTTACTTGTTGATACATAATATAATGGATACTGAATTCCTCTTGCATCATTTAATATAATCGATTGTCTCTCAGATTTTAATAGGCTCATATTTAATTCAAATAAAATTTTTAAATTTTGAATTTTTTATCGGTAATCAAATGAGTCAGGGATTAGATATTGAAGCCATCAAAAAAGAAATTCGTGAGCAGATATTAACAGAACTAAAGACATCAAAAACAGAAGAAAAACCAGAAAAACCAAAAAGGAAATTAAGTGAAAAGCAGTTAGCCGCATTAGCTGCAGGAAGAGAGAAGAACCCGCGAATGAAAGCAAAAAGAGAACGTGAGGCTAAAGAAAAGGCGGAGAAGGAAAAGGCTGAATCCGTTGAGAAGAAAGAATAAATGATATATTTTTGTTTGTAATAAATGTATAGACAAGTACCTTTAACAGTTGCTTTCAGTTCTGAAGAAGTAAATGTTAAAATAAATGGAAATAGAATCACATTTAAATTACCTATTGATTGGTCTGTTAATATAAACGAAAAATATATTGGTTTATCAAGTATGTATATAACATGAGGATTTAGAAGGGTTGAATTTGAGTTCGAAGTTGTTGTTATAAACGAAACCCAAGAATTTAAGCAAACTATTCACATATATAAATATTTCAAAGACGACACAACATTATATGAATGCATGAGTGATTTTAACGAAATTTTCTAAAAGAAATTTAACAAAAACGCTTTAGGATTAAATGTGTATCTTGATAAATTAAAAGAAGAAGGAATTCAACCACAAATTATAGACTTTCATTATGAATTTATTGAACAAATAGATGATTCACATACATGCACATTTGTTATATACTCACCGTTTAATGAAATAGCAGAAACGAGACAAAGTGATTTTAGGATAGGTTTTAAAATTTCTCAGTATAATGAAGACTTCATGAATGTATTTAATTATAAACCTGGAGAAGAACGAACAGTATTATTACCAATAATAACATATAATGTATGGGACAGAAAACAAGTCATCTTATATTCAAATATCGATAAAGGGGTTGAAAATGAATTTATCGGTCATACTAGATCGACGCCATTAACAAATATTAAGTATTATAAGTTATCAGGAAATAATAGAGAGTTTTGGATTGATATGTATTCTACACATGATCATAAATGCCCCGTTGTGTTACCCGAAGACGGAAAGGATGTTTTCTTCCTTGAGGCTCGGTTACTGAACTCGACTATTGCAACTTTATAAGAAAATCCATGAGACCCAAAGGGTCTGAGCCGCTAAGCGGCGAGAGCCCTACGGGCTCAGAGTCACGGAGTGACTAGGTTAGAAATGAGGTTAGATATCGGGTTAGATCTACCCTAAAATTAATTTTATCATTTATGAAAAATTTAGTATATACAGAAATTAAAAAAATTTTGAGTTAATTTATTTTTAAAAAATTATTTTTTTATTTTTATTCTGGGTGTTAAAATCTATGATAAAAAATAAATAAATAATTTTAACGTTAATTTTTTAAAGTTTATTTTTTAAAAAAATTATTTTTTTATTTTGTAAAGTGTCAAAAATTTTAACGTATGGCATTCCAAACGGGAACCGCGGTTGGTTACCATGGATTTCCGTCACCGGTCACATTTTAAAGATTTTTAAAGCCTTATAAAAATATGCTTTGTAAATCATTTTTTGTAAATCGGCAAAAATTTGGTAATTTTCTTCAACTAATAAATCTGCGAATAGCATTTATAATACAAGAACAATCTTTTAAAATGCGTTTGATTCATTTTTGTATAATTTCATATAGGCACATATATTCTTCCGGGACTTTCCGTGATTTTACCGTAAAATCATTAGTTTACACCGAGAAAGGGACAGACTAGCCCATTGTCACTTTTTAATTTAGCAAATGAACGCTTATGGAGTGGAGTTTTTGGGTAAATCTGATTTGCTTATAAATGAAATAAAATCAAAAGAAACCATATTGGCATTATATTATGCAAAAATAAATGATCTTACTTAGTACTTTTAAAGTTAATTTCAGAAAAAATTTGACACAATGGTATCCGGCACATACAAGTGGTGTACAACCAAAATATAAGTTGGTTTAAACATATATTGCTATATCTCATGATCTTACTTAGTACTTTTAAAGTTAATTTCAGAAAAAATTTGACACAATGGTATCCGGCACATACAAGTGGTGTACAACCAAAATATAAGTTGGTTTAAACATATATTGCTATATCTCATGATCTTACTTAGTACTTTTAAAGTTAATTTCAGAAAAAATTTGACACAATGGTATCCGGCACATACAAGTGGTGTACAACCAAATCTTCGACTCGATGAACTTGTAATCGAGTTATATTCCAGTGTTGTTCCTTCATTCCTGATTAAGTTGCAAATTAAAGGTCTGGATTCAGAGAGAAGTGTTAAAGTTATCAAAAAAGTCACAAGAGATTTCGAAGAAATGACACAATTTAAAAAAGTCGAATGCATCAGTATGCTTGAAGCTGTTCAGAAAGGTCTGAAAAATGATACACTTGATCCCAACATTGTTTACTCAACATTAAAAATATTATTGCAAAGAAAACATTTGATTTAATAAACATTTAATTTATTATAATTAATTTTTTATTACAGTATAGTAAAAAATGCTATAAATAAATTATTATATTTTATTAAAATGTGACTTTTAATAGTAAGTGAATAAAATAAATCAGGAATTGGGAAAGAAATAAGGTTAATTAAAAATAATGAAAATTACAAGTTTAAGGTTAATGAAAAAGTGACAATGGGCGAGTTTGTCCCCCACTCGTTTACACCAATTTTTCCGTATTTTGAATAGTTTACTGCACTTTTTCCGTAAAATTGAGTTACGGGAATCCGCAAAATTTCCGGACCTCATTTTTCATAGAATATAATAATAATATTTGATAAAAAGATATATTATTTATATTTTTGATTTTTGAATTACGGAAAAAGTGAATTGTTAACTTGATTTTTTTATATGGTTAATTTTTCAAATGATATTATGAAGATCTAAAATATTAAAAGTAAAAAATTGAATTACGGAAAAAGTGAGGTCAAAAGTGAAATAAATTTGCAGAACAATTTTCATTGAAATAAGACATTGAGTATCACACTTTAGTGAATCAACATCTATAAGAATGAAGTGTTTTGAAGCTGAAATAATATTGAATAGAAATTAATTTTTTCTGAAATTTTGAATGAAATTATGGGAAATAAAAAAATTACTAAATATTGTATTCATACAATATATTATTTTAAAGGAAAAATAGATGCTGATAGAAACGATGAAAATTTTTGAAAACTTTACAATTAATTTATGTTCGTTAACCACCGAGCTTGCAATCCAAAGCTCACGTTAGACTACAAGAGTCATGAAGTCTCATACTAAGGGATATCCAACATATATTTTAATAATCTAATGTTTGTGACAAATATTCAACATAAAATTAAGTTTTCGTTTCGTTACAAGGCATTCATACTTTGGAGATATCATATTTAATGTACAGAAAAGTTAATATTAAACAATACATGCTAAAGAATTAATAAATAAGATAATAAAATAAATTTATACGTAATTACTTTCATTTAATATGCTTTATGCTGTATAATATTGATTAAGAGGCATTAAAAGGTTCCATAGTCTGCTTTTATAGGCAAGATTTTGATAAAAATTTAAAATTTTGAAAAATGATGAGAAAAGGAAAAAAAGGTAAATGAGAGCAAGAGGAGGGAAAAAAAGAAAAAGAAAAGAAAGGGAAGGGAAAAATAAAAGAAAGAAGGACATATAAAAATTTAGATGCGCATTCTTAATGCCGAGGCGGCTTGCCGCCGAGGCGCGATTTTTTTAGGCCTCTACGGTAACCCGGCAATGTTTTTTTAAATCTTGTACAGCCCTATTTTAACGTTAATTTTTAAGTTTATTTTTTAAAAAAATATTTTTTTTATTTTGTAAAGTGTCAAA